TAAGAGGTGTCGAGATGTAATTAAATTCCCGCCAACTAAACTAAAGTGTTGGAATGTTATTAAAATGATTGATGGTTGAGTTTCTACCTTCTAAAAGGGATTACCTAGCTTGAATTAGGATTATTTGGGGGCAGCGGCATCTAACATTGGATGACATATTTGAAATGGAAAGGAAAAAAACTTTATCTGAAGGGAGTAAAAAGAGTATTCAAAACGAGAGATATTGCATGAAAATATTTCTTTTGTACTTAAAACTTAGTCTTTTTAATTCAGAATGGATATTTAATTCAACCTCTAGATGAAAGATGTAAAACATAATATATACTATACCTTTTTTGAGATTTGTATTTGGGTGCTTAATTCAACCTCTTTAGTAAAATATTTATTTTATAAAATGATAATGCCCCTTTGAAAAAAAGCTTTTAGTCAATAAATTTGGAAAAGAAAATGTACTTCATACAAATAAAATTCAATAATAAGAACAAAAAAAGGAAAAAATTTCTTATTGAGTTTATTATGTATAAGTATGATGTGAATCTCTAGTAAGTGGATGGGATTGGATATTGGACCAAAATTAATTGTGTCATCCTCCAAGGCTTTGGATACCAAGAAGACCATCATTTGGAGTGGTCCGATTGGTGCTTCTAAGTTTGACAAGTTCGTTGCAGGAACCAGGATGTTGCCTAGAAGCTGGCTGAGCTCAGCAGGAAGGGGGCGACAACAATTGTTGGACATGATGACGCTATAGTTGCAATGAAGAAATTTTATGGAATGACGGCATAAATTTGGCTGCAAAGGATGTTTAATAGATATGTTTTGACAACCAGATTGGAAGCCGAACTTTTGAGTCGCTGGGTTCATTGGTTTGACCAATCCTATCGGTCCTCAAAAGCTGGGAACATAATAAGTTTAAAAAGATAAAAAATTTTAAAATTTTAGTTCAACCAGTCACGATTTCCAGTCGAACCAGGATTCTGTCGGAGGTTTATAGAATTTGATCCATTTTTTTTACAAAAATGGATTTCTAGAGAAACCGACATGAAAGGCCTCTAGTTATTGGTTCGACTGGCTGGCCAAGCCTAATTTTCAAAATATATTTATTCGAGTAGAAATATTGGAGTTTTCAAAATATATTTATTCAAGTAGAAATATTGGAGTTTACATTATCATCAATAGTATACCATACGTTCTACGAAAAAAAAGTATGATGTGAATCTTTTGATCTAACAGAGCACAACTCTAAACTGTGGAAGTTTTTAACAAATTACAGCACCAAGACTTGTTCTTGTTTTACCTACCTAAAACTCGCCAAAACAACCGACGACTCCAGAATATTTTGATTAAAGGATGAATTGAATAAAAAATATAAAATATGGTAGACAAGAATATGGAAAAAGCGTTTTCGTATCGAACCCTAAAAGAAATCGTCAGTTGATATCCACCTTACAATGGAAATGAATCTATTTGCTCTAAAAGGACCACAAACTCAGCATTCAAGTTGAGAAACACCAAATCTCGAATAAGGATAGCCGCACAGTTTGCAAGAAACTCAATTTAGGCTTATGCACAAAGTTAATCAACATAATTAACCAAAAAGAACTTCACTTGTTCTTCATAAAATCATCATAAAAATTTATTAAATCACTCCATCAATTCGGTGGCCTGGCGCCCCTATTTATAGGGAATAGAGTTGGCAAAAAACCTGGTCCAAAACCAATTACAAGTCTTATTTCGTTGTGACTACTAATTATTTCCTAAAATAAATAAAAACCCTTAGTTAAATAATTGTACATGTCACCTATATTTAAAATTTATTTAATGACTCTCTTAAGTCGACCAAAATTAATATGGACGAAAATAACATAAATGAAATTACCTAAAATCAATTTGATTCAAAACGGGAAAAATAATAAATTAGGAAACTGGCGTTGACCTTCGCGTCGGGCTGCTCAAGTGGACGAATAAGATGACGAAGTCTGTTTTTGCTCAAATACCTTTAATTTTGTTTTCAATCTTCCAGCATCTTTGATGCCAACATAAAAAAGACCAAAAGCAACCATTATATAAATAACAATTACACCTAAAGGCGTTTCTTGAATCACATCATTCCCTCCTTTCTCAAAAAAATTCGTCCTTGAATATTGAAACATACCATAATGGGAGAATAATCGATGCCTTGATCTTTTTCTTAAACCCTATACCAAAAATATTCAAAAAGACATTGAAGGGATGAAGACCGATAGTCTCGTTTGAGAACAAATCCTCAAACACAATGTATTCTATGTTTGGTATACATCTCTTAAGTAATAAGAAAGTAATAGTGTAAAGAAATAATGTGATATAGTAGGTGACTTATTTGCTAAGATTTATAACACTACATTTAGTTCTAAATATTGTTTTCCCTTAACATTAAGGGCTCCCCTTTTTCAAAACATAAAAAAAATTGCTCGAAATAGAAATATGACATATGAAATAGTTTATATCTCAAAATTAAGTTTGACAAAAAACCTTATGAAAATACTATCAATAATCCCGAGAGCTTGAGCCTCCTACAGTAGTAGATTGAGCATATATTTTATGTAGTCCACAATCGTCAGGTAACTCCAATGTAGCATTACCAAGATAAGCAACAGGAAGATCAAACACCCAATTCCAATGCCAGTATAGAAAGCTTGATTTATAATTGCGAATTGTTTTCTCTATTGTGGACCAATAAATTGATGATGCTTCATCTTGTAGTGTGTATCATCCAAATCACCAATGTAATACATTTAAAGTGACAAGCTTATGGAGTATGGAGATATCGCGAAGACAAATATGGTGAAATTTACCAAGATAAATTTTTCTTTCTCCTTGTTGTTTTGACTAACAATGAGCTATGATGGTGTTCTCTGTCCTGCTCAGTCCTATTTTTGCCTTCTCCTCTGCCATTTATTATCATGTTCTCATCTTTTGCTATGTCATCCCCTATCCTATTTTTCAAATTCTCCTCATTTATTTTGCTAAGCATTGTTTGATACTGCACCATTTACTGAAACTTATCAATTGTTACAAATTATTCAATTTTTTTTCAACTCAACAAAAAAACTCTTTTTTTTTGTTGTTGAAATATAAACGACCCTTTTTTTAAGAATTTCTTTCCCTCAAGTTTAGGTAATGGTAATTAGATCAATCCATTTTTAACAAATGTCAATTTTCAATTTTTGCCTTGATCATACAACACTTAACATCTTTTGTCAAACTCTCCCGCTCAAGTGTTTATAATTCTAAACAATAGACACTCTACAATTCAACCAAAACAAAAAAATTTAAAACTACTTGAAGAATTGGATGGGAAAGTTATCAGTTATCAATCTCTAACTTTGATCTCATTTTTAATATTTTAGCATGGAACCTAAAGATTAAGAAGACGTCATCATTGTAAACCGCCACAAAATTTTGTTTGTTCATTTTACTACTAATTTAACCATTTAAACCTTTCTTTTAGTATATTAGTTTAGTACAAATATTAAAATTTAGTGTACACTATTTTTTCGAGACAGAGGAGCAATATATAAAAACAAGATAACTAACTAATGTAATCTCTAATTTGTGGTGCTTTCCAATACCAAGTAAAATACATGTATAATTAGCATGACTGAATATTTCAAGAATATATTTGAAACTTGTTTTCAGAGCTATAAACTAGAATCAACAATAAAAAAGATAAAATTAAACTATTATGAGCAAAAACTATTGGAAAAAGCATCCCCACAAGAAAAGCTACAATCTCAGTCTGGTGCTAGTGGTTTTTGTTCGATGCTACATATAATTGTTGCTTCACTCAACAAGCACAATACCACATATCTCATACAAAAGAAAAAATAATTGAAGTCGGTGTTCTAATAGATGTACAAAATAATAAATATCATAAGAGCCACTATACCCTTTCAGCTGCCTCACTCACAGAGCGCATTTGTGTAACTCCACTTAACTGTAGCCTCCGACGCTACAACATGGATGCAACCAAAAAAATTTAAACATACTAATACAACATTAAAAAAATGCTTAAGAAAACTGTGATTGATTTGAGACTTGATTAGGGCACTGTGCTGATTCTTTGACAGTCTGTTGGTTCAATTTACATGTCCTTTACTTATCATAAACCATTGTGGTTTATGGTGGTTAGATGGATAGTGCCAATTTAGAATTTGCCAAATGTCTTGGTGTTTTATTATTTTGAGGTCAAAGGCCACATGGTGTTAAAAGAAACAACGATCTCAAGGTTCTAGCATTTTTTTTTTGGGTTGTTGAGGCTAGATCTGGAATGTTGTTTTATGATTGCGCATCCTTGTGGTAGAAGAAGACAACAAAGAAAATTGACTTCACTTGTATTCTATTTTTTTGAGTTGAGGGCATTTGGAATAGTGAATTTGGATCATCATCGAAGACATTACCACTTGAAGGACTAGTCATTTCGAAAGAGATGTTATGCTAATATTAATGTTTCTTTTACACTAGTTCTTCTTGCTACTGAAACTAGTGTGTTTAGTTGATGACAAATACCAATATTACTTTTGTAATAGTTTTGCTACTGAAACTAATTTGTTCAGTTTAGTATGTAGTCTTTGTCATGATAAATAAGTTCATGGTATTATTGTTGATTCATACAATACAAAGTGGTCTATTATTATTAGTATTATTATTATTATTATTATTATTATTATTGCAAAGTCGTCTGTTTTCTATATCATGTATGGTTTTTTCTAGTTTTAAAACATTATGGTTTGTTAGCACCTTAATTTGGAGCTATTTTCAAACATGGTACCATTAGATAGATTGATTAAGGTAGTGTGAACATGATGAGTCCACGTAGTGTTAACTGTCTAGTAGTTTGGAAAGTAGTATGTGTTTCTAACCATGCAATTTTTAGATTTAGTTTATTAAGAAAATCAAGCAAACTTTAGATTTACATATGGGGTCCTCTAACAGTGTCAGATATCCCTCTATTCATTCTTTAAATGGCTAGGGATATTATTTTTGAGAGTACTAGCATCATGGAGACATATAGTATTGAGGAGAGTATGGAAGTTGCCACTAGGTCTAATGTCACCCAGGAGAATGGTGTAGTTAACATGGAGGTTGATACTTCAGGGCTGCTTACTTCTGCAGTCGAGGAGACGTTGGAGAACACATTAGTAATCAACGGACGTTCATGAGAATGCAATAGTTGGTTCGGGGGTTGATGCATTGGGATAGCCTATTTCTTCAGTTGAGGAGGCTTCAGAGGCGATAGTTTTCAAGAGGGTTGAGGCTAGAGGGATTTCAGAGGATCTGTCAGTTATCACTAGGATTGATCCTAATGAGAGAGACAATATTGTGATTGAGATAGTTGTTGATACGAAGGAGCGTGTTGCTGCCACTAATGAGAGTGCGCCAATGTTATTCAGAGTAATTTGAAGCCTATTCTGAGGAGTACGACTTTGGAGAGTGCACGAGATGTTATTGCGAGTGATGATACTGTACGGCCTATTCTAAGGAGTATAACTTGGAGAGTTCACCAGATGTTATTGAGAGTGATGTTACTATACAACCTATTCCGGGTACACTACTTAACACGGGACGTACTTTTGAGATTGATAGGCCTACTTCTAGGAGTAGAGTAGCTAGAGAGGTGGGTATGAGATTGATAGGCCTACTTCAAGGAGTAGAGAAGCTAGGGAGGTGGATACTTTTGAGATTCATAGGCCTACTTTAGAGAGTGGAGTAGCTAGGGAGGTGGGTACTCAGAGCGGTCAGAAAGTGGATGATCGTTCAGGAATGAAGCCTCGTTTGCTGACGACAACAGGATGGTTGACCATTTTGTTTCACTGGGTTTGTGTTACTGTCCTTGCAGCCATGTCTGTTGTGCTTCCATGGTTTACTATTCCTAGACCCCTGCCTCTTACATCGTTTGGTCTTTACTTTGATATGTCGCTAGTTTCTTTTGTGTTCGTATGCATTAGTCTTCATCGGGGAGTGCGACGAGTGAGAGATTATTGTAGAGTTGGAGCATATCTTATTGTTTTATCTATGAGGTTTTTTTTACTTATTTATGAACTAGTCGGTCGTAGAATTGTGAGAGAACTTTCTTGTATTCCATTCATTCTCGAGTTAGTTGGTAATTGTTGGGAGAGTTGGGGTGACACACAGGTACATGGGAGATGGTCTATGGGAGTACTATATGGAGTTGTTGTGTGTATTATTCTCATAGAAATGGCTTGTTCTGTGTTGTCTCATTGGTCCATAGGTCCCAAGTAGCTATGGTAGTTAGTGTGGTGTTGGATCTTTTGAGTGCTTTGGTTGTGTTTGCGCTGTATTGTATTAGGCAACAGACTACTACCGGAGTTACCCCGATTGACACTATGAGGGTGGTAGCTTTTGACTCCGTGCTGGTGATCAGACTTATCATTTTAGTTTTCAATTTGAGAGTTTCCAAGAACCACCACTTATACAGTGTTGATTTTAGCTATTATCCTTTTCTGTTTGAGCTTGTTGGGATGGTGATTCATGAGATGAAAAAAAAAAGTGAGCATACGGAGCATCAAGAGTACCACCAGCACCATGATAGGATTATCTCTTAGTATTGATGTTTTAATCTATTAGTTTTTGGATTGAGAATGTTTTGTATCATATGCTTGAGAAATAATCTTGTAATATCTTGTAAATTTTCAATGATATTGACAACTTTGTGGCGTCATTATTATTTTGGAATGTTGTTTGTACCCAATTCCTATTGACATTGTTTAGGGGTGACAATTTCTGATAAGACGACACAATTTACCGACAACCTGACACGATACGACACGATTGGTATGATTTGTGTTTTTGTTATATTTTTTGCTTCAAAAATTTTATGAACAATGTGGAATACATGATATGGCACGTTAGTGAAGATAGTCTATATCTACAATCCGTCCTAAATAATATGTACTTGAGTCGGACTAATACAACATCAAAATTTACCATTACTTTCAATATAATGAAAGTATTACAAAACCATAATATCCTTCCTCATTGGTGAAATGCGTATAAGTTTGGTAATGTAAGTGAAATTTTTGGATGAATTTAGTTCGCAACCTTTTTCTTTTTCCTCTCTTTATGGATATTTTTTTTTTCTTTTCCTCTTAATTCTTGTCGAGTTCAAATGTCAAAACATACTAACATCTCGTCGACACTGGTGATGATCCTCGATAATTATTCTGAAATTAGTATCACCGGAGTAATTAATTTACAGATAACGATAAATACAAAAGAGTAATTAAAATTTGGTCACCAAACGTTTCAAAGGTAGAAAAAAAATGATGTGCATGAAGAAAAAAAGAGCTAAGATTTCATCAATGTGCTTCGCGTTATCAAATGATAGTCAAAAGTGGGAGGTGAATTTGACACTGAAAGTACTATATACAAACATTTTCAACTTTGAGGTAAGCAAAAATTCTTAGTTACATATATCAACATGAGAGAGAGTCGAAGAAGGCCAACATTATAGTACTCCTGATAGCAATCCGTGACAAAACCAATCTTTAAGAAAAGATCAACTTTGCTAAATCGGAAAGACAAAGATTTGTAGGCAGCGGAATTTGGAGAATTCGGATGTAAAGACTCAAAACACACAAAAAACACACAAAAGAAAAGATATTTGATCTCACGTGGATCAATTCACGAGTTCAATGGTAGAACAACCCAAATAAAGAATGGAGAGAGCTATTTCTAACCAATCAGAGACCCCTTGGAAAATTGTGTAGGAAAACCCAATAGATATGAGATCTATGAGCTTAAATACCAAAATTCAAAAGATCCAATGCTAAAGACGCCACTATCAAATGAACTAAACAAGATAGATAAGTCTAACAATTGTTACAACACATATGCAACAACTAAACAAAGAAGTCCTCACAAGAACTCCACGAAAGGAATAAAATCCTAACCAATTTCACTCAGGAAAATATCAATGACACAAGGTGTGTTGGACAAGAGAATTTCGCTCCCTATTTATAGAGGGGGTGGCCGAAATTTCTTCCCAAGAAGTAGAGGAAGAACACAACTCTTCACCTCTATTCCTATCTCTAAGAATTTGAAATAATATCAAACTCTAAAGACTCCTAGTTATCTTAAGTGATAAGATAACGAACCTAGACACTTTTACTAGTCTTAAAACATTTAAGACTTGTAGGAATTAATTAAAACTCAAAATACAAAGAGATAATCTCTTAGAAAGATTCCAATGGATAGAATCTCCCTTGAGTTAAAACTCTATCATCATCTTCTTTGTAGAGTGATCTTAGCCATCCATCTTGATGTAGTCTTCATTCAACGGTTGAGTAGACATCAAAAGTTGACTCCTTATTGTAGGAAAACTCGAAAATAAGATAAAAGGAATCATCCCAAATATTATCCTTTAAAGAGATAAAAGTCTTATCTTTCAAAGAGATAAAATTTGAATGATCTCACCCCTAAACTTTAGGGATCAATTTGACCAACATGAGGGGGTGTGGCCGGCGGTCCTCCTTGGATTGAGGGCCAAAAGTTCTTCTCTCCAAATGGACCAAATCCATTTGGTGTCACTTGCAACAAATTAATAGTCTTGGGCTTGTAATCTTCAAGCTTAATTTCCTCCTTAGCCCATGTAGTAGTAATTAGACTATTAAGTGATTCATTCATCCTCTTGCGTCTAGCACGAGTCATTGGTCTAACAATGTTTGAGAGTGGATCACGGATGTAAGGATTATTCTTTAAAACAGCATCTTTGGATCCTTCATTAGCATTCACGACCTCAACTTGCTCGTCCTCTCCATTATTGGCAGCAACATGTCCCTCTCCATTAGTGTTAGCTCGATGGTGTCCATCAACTCCCTCCGTTACAAAAAAATATCACTAAACAAAGTGTGTACATAGTTTAAGAAGCATTAAATTTTAATATTTAGATTGCTAAACTATCCCTAACCTACCCATTAAAAAACTAGATATTATTAAAGTTATATTTTTATGGAGGGTAATTTTCGAAAAAGTTGACAAATTATGCATTGAAATGTGAGAATGACACTTATTTTGAAATTTATCCAATTCGCTAAATAGACATTTATTTTGGAACGAAGGGAGTAATAGATTTTAATTCCTCTTCAACTTAAATTTTTTTTTCTCATAAAGAGAGGTAATTACTACCAATATTATAATTGATGGGGTTGGGTGGGGGATAAGAGGAACAAGGAAAACTAAATCCATACTGGAGTAGATAATAATGTTATAAAGAAACGTGATGATTTGCTACTGCTAGTGGGAATTGAATATTCCTAACCTATGACCTATATAAGTGAGTCATATATAATCATCCTAGCCGACCACATACAAATTTTTTCTTTTCTTTCTCGGGAGTTCCCAAGTCTGTAAGAACCTCGGCAATCATAAGGGTATCCTTCTTGAATCTCATCAAACACAAAAGTAATGTAGGAGGGTTTCATCACGAACAAACACAAAATTATGGTGGAAAAGATGGACAAGGTGGAGGGTTTTGTAAAGAAAATAACGACATGGGATCACGAGATGTATTGGGTAGGTTCAATTGCGATATTTCTTTGTATTTGCATCGGACTACCTCTTCTGGTATATCATTTTTATGTTGGGGGATTGAATCACCACCACCAAAATACCTACCACATAGGAGACATTAATCCTCCTCGACTTGAAAGACTGAACAACATGTTTTACACTTTTTTGGGACTTGGAATCTCGCTTGGTGCTGAAGTCATGTGTTTGTGGATTTATATCCTCTCTAATGTGCTCCTTAATGTAGAGATGTTGTTAGAGGTAATCTTCTTATATTTATCAAGTTAGTTTAAAGATAACTGCTTTCACAATATTTTTGTATTTATCTGTGCAAGAGACTTATCTCTATGGTTAACATGAACTCTATATAATACAATATCAAATTATTCAAGCATGTTTAATTCTTTCATGGTATTAGTTGAAATGGCTGCTTCCACATCTCTCTCCTCCCAACAATCCTTTTGGTGTTCACATCAAGGATCTCATTCTTGTCACTTTAGATTAGTCTAACTATATGAAGTAGAGCCATCTCTTTCTTCTAGTCCTCGAAATCTATGATCTACATAATCATCTTGATTTTTCCATTCTTGTTCCTTCCTGCACCATCTCAGATTCTTCTGATAAAACTATTCCTAACCCCACCTATCACGCTTGGCTTCTTCTTGATCGATTGATCCTTGGCTCAATGCCACTATCAATACAGATCTATTGCAACTTCTGTATGATGCTTCTTCTACTGCTGAGGCTTGTTCCACCTTAAAATCTCACTTTCTTCAAAAAACTATTTCTCATGAATTGTAGCTTAAACTACTGCTTCAAACACTCAAAAAGGGTTTCATTGATAGTTACATGACCAAGATTTAAGAAGCTTCTGATTCTCTTACGGCTATCGGTCATTCTGTCTATTATCCTGAATTGGTCCTTTTGGTTCTTCAAGGTCTTCCGACTTCCTATGAAGATTTCATCACCATGGCTTATAATCAAAAACCTGCACCCACCTTTAAGAAACTCTGGACTATGTTGCTCACCCAGGAGTCCCGTATTGAGGACCATCATGGAGTTACTATTTCTTCTCAGTCTTCCACGACCCTTGTTTAACAAGGACTTCTTGCCTTCTTTTCACAGTGGTCGATCTGTTCGTGGTTGTTGATTTGGTGGCTGTTGGTAAAATCATGGTTGAGTTGGTCGTGTTCGCAATGGTTGGCACACTTTGGGACGTGGTAATGGTCCATTTGCAGTGCCTGCTTCCCTAGCTACTAGGGTCTCTTGGGTATTCCTCCTCTTCAGCAGTTTGTTTCTCATCACTCGAATCAGCCCTCCTTTGTATCATTAAACCTTGCTCACCCTAATGTCAAGTGCTAGATCTGTAACAACTCCGGACATCTTACCTTAAATTGTCCAAACTGCCTCAATCATGCTTATGCCGCCTCGAATGTGACAAAACCTGGTACATGGACAGTGATGTGATAACACTTAAATTGTCCAAGTTGTCCATTTGCAGTGATAAAACCTGGTACATGGACAGTGATGTGATAACACTTAAATATGACCCCTTTTAGCAAGCAAATCTTATTCCTATTTACTTGTAAATTAGTGTCAATTAAGTAGAATTAGTTTAATTTTGGGTTGATTTTACATTTTTCAGGGTGATTAAAGGGCCAAAGTTGAAAATGTTAGAAATATTGGGCCAAAAGATGAAAAAGAGCATAAAAAGGGACCAGAAATGGAGCTGGTACAAATTGGACTGGAATTGATTGATTAAGGATCGCCATTGCAAGCTGCTGTCGCTGCAAGTGGAAGAAGAGAAAGAGGAAGTATATAAAGACCAAAGTTACAGCCACTCTGCTGATGGCCAATGCTGCTGCCTTTGATTGAATTGAAAGAATGGCTACTGACGGAGGCAAGAAACGCGGCTACAGTAGATGATTGTAGGAAACAAGGAAGAGAAGAATGGAAGAAGGACGGCTAAATTGGTGGCAAAAGCAGAAGAAAGAAGAGGGAACATGATAATTGGATAGGAAGAATGTTGTTGATTGTC